GGGAAAACCCTCATCCCCGTGGGCGATAACATCAAGCCTCCCGACAAGCAGGACCTCATCTACTCGGCCGACTCACCCGACTTCTGCTTGGCTAACCGTAAGACGGGCTCGCTGGGCACCCGAGGCCGTGTCTGCAACAGCACAGCCATGGACACGAGTGGGTGCGACCTGCTGTGCTGCGGGCGAGGGCACCGGGACGAGACGGTGGTGCTGGAGGAGAACTGCCTGTGCCCATTTTTGCCGCAAGTGCTCCGTCCGTCAGGAGCTCAGCCTCTGTGTCTGATGGCCTGGGATCTGGCGAGGACAATTTAGGGGACCTCCCCCAGGCTCAAACTGCAGCCCTCCCAAGACAGAGACAGGCTGAGCCGGTGGCAGGGATGGCGTGGGTGAGCCCAGCTCTGCACCCCGGGGAGTCCCGGTTTCTCCAAGGGACAGTGTGGGGCCACTTGGCATCCCATGGCCCCCGTGGTGGTGGCTACGGGCACTGAGCTTCCACTAATAAAGCTATTTAAAGCTGGAGTGCCACAGCACTTCCTGGGGAGGGCTGCGAAGCGCTGCTGCTGTACTGGGATGGGACAGGCTAGAGAGATGACTTGCTCCAGCTGTGGGTCCCAACCAGCTGAATTCCTTCCAGGAGGTACGGCTAGCTGCCGTGACACCATGGTGATGGGCTGTGAACTACCTGAAGGTATCCTCTCCTTTTCACTCCATCTTCAGCCACCGTTGATGCAGTCCCCACTGCGGGGCCCTTGCATGGCGGAGCCCTGAGCGGTGCTGATGCTGACGGCTGGGTGGCATGTGAGGCATTCTCTTGGCATGCCATGGGCTGCATGCAGCCTCACCTGGCCGGCAAAGTGCCAGGCAGGTCTTGGTAACCTGATCAGCCTGTGTTCCTCGTGGGCAAACACAAGTCGAGGAGCAGCCTGCCTGGCTGCCTGTAGGGCAGGCTGCCATCCCTCTGCTCCAGAGGCTCTGGGGGTCTCTGAGGGGATCCCTCCCATGCTGCAAGGAGCCTATGGGAACTGGTTTCTCCAGCTTTATCCAGTGTGGGGCTTTAGGTAACTGCAGAGGGAAACACGTATATGCAGCTCCCACTCAGCTGGCAATGCCACACTGGTCATAGAAGCCCCTTAGGGATGTCAGAAGAGCCAGAGACTGGACAGAGAGATCTGTGCTCCTGTGTCAGCCCTCCATACTGTAGCAGTGCAGGGCATGGGGGCTTTGCCCATCAGCCTTTCTGCAGAAGGGTTACCAGGGTTCTCAGCTGAGGTGGCCAATGCCCTGCACGCTGTGCACTGCCAGGCAGGACAGGAACAGAGCTTGCAGTGCTGGGCATGCTGCAAGGTGAGGTGAGGTGCGGTGGGATGCTGGTGCTGCCCACTAGAGAGTCCCTCAGAAACTCCCCAGGAGCCACCTAGATTCCTGGAAGTCCCCCCCAGACTCTCCGGACAGGTCAAAGCCCTCAGGTCGCAGGCCGGGGTGGGGGG